TCCCTCTGCCTCCCTCCCTCCCTCTCTGCCTCCCTCCCCTCCTCTCCCTCCCTCCTCCCTCCCTCTCCCTCCCTCCCTCCCTCCCTCCCCCCTTCCTCTCCTCCCTCCCTCCCCTCTGCCTCCCTCCCTCTCTGCCTCCCTCCCTCCCTCTCTGCCTCCCTCCCTCCCTCCCTCTCTGCCTCCCTCTCTGCCTCCCTCTCTGCCTCCCTCCCTCTCCCTCCCTCCCCTCTCTGCCTCCTCCCTCCCTCTCCCCCTCCCTCTCCCTCCCCCCTCCCTCTCTCGCCCCTCCTCCCTCCCTCTCCCCCTCCCTCTGCCTCCCTCCCTCCCTCTCTGCCTCCCTCCTCCCTCTCCCCCTCCTCTCTCCCTCCCTCCCTCCCTCTCTGCTCCCTCCCTCTCTCCCTCCCTCCCTCCCTCTCCCCTCCCTCTCCCTCCCTCCCTGCCTCCCTCCCTTCCCTCCCTCCCTCTCCCCCTCCCTCTGCCTCCCTCCCTCCCGTCTCTGTTTCTGACAGATGCAGCAGTTATGAGAAGACCTGCTACGTGGATTCATGTATGTTTTAACTTATTTTAAGTATTTTATCTTGAGAGTGAACATAAGATATATTTGTCTCCTGCACATTAATGGCCATATTGCTTTTGGCTTATTAACGTTTGTCTCACCTGCTGTGATGTTAAATTCACCGCACAATCGGCCGATTGTCTCTGGTTCTGTGCTGAAGACTTCTATATTTCTATTCAACTGTTTTCCTTATTTTGTGGAACTGAACTGATGTGCCTCCACGTCAAAATATGTGGCTTGACTTTCCCAATGCGACATTCACTTTTTTCTATGTAAAACATACTTTTAAACCAATATTTTCTCCTTAAAATATTCACATTGCCTTATTACCACCCACCCCCTACCCGACACAAAACATGGTTATGGAGTCTGAGGTTTGAGACGTCGCCAAATATTTTGTGGTAATCACCTTCATGTGCAGTGTCTGTTTCTGCAGAGAAAAACGCTGCGCATCGAATAATGGTTTAGTTTAGTAATTTAGTAATAGTTTAGCAATGCTGTGCAGTGTGTAGCGAGTGTGTGAACAATCCTTCTACCAAAAGCAGTAATAAAGTGACCCACTTGAGCACAGCTCAGGCCGAGAGAATCACTGACACCGGTTTAAGTCCCTGAAGCATTTAGTACCACATGCCTTGTTTTCAGCAAACAACTAGAAACTATAAACCGGGACAAAATAAATTTTCACTTAGAATAATATCAGTTAATAAAAGACAGTTAACACGGGTTTGTTAAAGGCAAATCATGTCCACCAAACCTGATAGCGTTTTTTGATGAAGTAACAGAGGGTGAATGAAGATTGTGCAGTTGTTGTAGTTTATATGGATTTTCAAAAGGCGTTTGATAAAGTGCCACATAAGAGACAGAAGCCCACGGTATTAAAGGAACAGTGGCAGTGGATACAGAACTGTCTGGGAGACAGAAAGCAGAGAGTGGTGGTGAACGGTTGTTTTTCTGACTGGAGGGAACTGTGCAGTGGTGTCCCCCCCGGGGTTGGTGTTGGGGCCATTGCTGTTTTTGATCTATATAAATGACCTGGACTTGGGTATAGGGAGTGCAATTTCCAAGTTTGCAGATGATACTAAGCTGGAAAAGTAGTGAACATACATTCATAGATTCATAGAATGTTATGGCACAGGAGGCCATTCGGCCATTGAGTCTGTGCGGCTCTTTGACAGAGCGTCACTTTCACTAACACCAATCACCAGCTTTCTCCCCATAACCCCACAAACCCGTCTTCCCCATCATTATAAACAAGGCTTTATAAATAGGGCAAAGAATACAAAAGTCAGGAAGTTCTGATGAACCTTTATATAAAACACTGGTTAGGCCTCAGCTACAAACTGTGTTCAGTTCTGGGCCCCACACCGAAGGAAGGATATCAAGGCATTGGAGAGGGTGTAAAGGAGATTGACCAGAATGGTACCAGGAATGAGGGCCTTCAGTGATCAGGAGAGTGGGGGAGTGGGGTTGATTGGGGCTATGGGGAGAGAGGGGGGGAGTGGGGTTGATTGGGGCTATGGGGAGAGAGGGGGGAGTGGGGTTGATTGGGGCTATGGGGAGAGAGTGGGGGAGTGGGTTGATTGGGGCTATGGGAGAGAGGGGGGAGGGGGTTGATTGGGGCTATGGGGAGAGAGGGGGGGAGTGGGGTTGATTGGGGCTATGGGGAGAGAGGGGGGAGTGGGGTTGATTGGGGCTATGGGGGGAGTGGGTTGATTTGGAAGCTCTTTTCAAAGAGCCGCACAGACACGATGGCCGAATGGCCTCCTTCTGTGCTGTTTAATTCTGTGCATTGTTTTCCAAAACAATGGATATTGAAGGGAGGGGATGTTGAATTATTCTGTAAATTATGCTTAAGAATAAAATTATTTTTAAGGCTACTTTTTAAGCCATTGGACATTTCTGTCAGACTGGAAATCAGACTTAAAGCAAAGTCTGGGGAAAAGCAAACAACAAACGACATTTGTAAAGCAGTACTGCGAACAGTAGTAGTTTGTGATGACGTTTCCCTTGGCAACCAACGCTCGGGTTGAGATAGAAGAGACTGACTTACTGATAAACAACAACCAAGTAACAACACGATCAACAACAACAACTTCAACAACAACAACTTCAAATTTTGCACCTGTTTTGAACGAACAATTACCAAAGTGTTTAAGTTATTTTAATTCCCTAAATGCGCATGTTTTTGTCTGAAGAGTTTTTCCCTTTCTCAAAATATTTTCTGTGCAAAGAAATGGTTTGTATCTGGGTTTGTCATGAACATCGTGAGGTCAGGCATTTCACACTGCTTCACAACAATTTGCATTACCATTATTTCATGTAAAATAAGCATCTTAACAATCTTCCAGATACGTTACAGTATATAATGTGCTACAGCACCTTTCACATCAGGAGGATGTCTTAAAGCATTTCACGCTGTTGGAGCTGCACCTGAGTTGGGGGGTGGGAGTCGAGGAGGGTGGCAAGGGGATAGGGGACCGAGAGACAAGGAGGCAAGACCTGAGGTGGGCTTTGAAATTGGAGAGAGGAGAGAGAGAGTCAGAGGGACTCCAGGATGGACTTCCAGAGAGCAGGAGCAGAATGCTGGAAAGCTCACTTCGTTGAAAGAAGGGAGCAGCTCGATCAGAAGGGTTCTCGGAGGGAGGGGGAGGTGAGGTGAGGGGGACATCATCCTGAGGTGAAAGGTGCTTATACAAAGGTAATTTTGTTGTTGTTGTTGAGCAGTCTGTGGTTGTTTACTTTCATGGCTGTTTGCTGGACATTGCAGTGTGCAAAAGAGCTCGGCTGCAAGTCACCAAACCTGATAGCAATTACCTGTTAAACGTTTGAGAAGGTTGGATGGTGCCGACACCATATTGAATGTGAGAATGTTTATTATTTGAAAGCTGGTAGAGGTGTGCTGTGTGTGCCTCTCGCTCTGAACTAAAAAGGTAGTTATGGTAAATTTAATGCCTCTTAAATATATATGCCCATGTACATAAGACTTAAAATTCAATTCAATTTCGTTGTCAGAAACAATTCGTGAAGTTGGCTAAACCAACATAAAACTGTTTGAGATTTGTTTCCTACGTGAAAGATATTGTAAAAGTTGTTGTCGGACAATCATGGAATTTGTCTGCATTTATAAAGTGATTTTATTATAGTTCTTTGCAAGGGATTTGGGGTTGGCATCAATTTTAAGATTTAGGTTAAAGCCCTTCAAGTAATCTTTATCTTTCACTGACATTGTGACTGACATTGTTTTTGCCTGTTGCCCAGGCCTGTCAACATGGCTCCAAACTCAGAAATTCTTCGCTTTAAGTTTACGAGCTACGGAGATTCTATGCTGCAGAAAATGAACGTGTTGAGGCAGCAAAACCGATTCTGCGACGTGACGATAAAGATCAACAACGTGGCCTTTGTGGGACACAAAATCATCCTCGCCGCCTGCTCTCCCTTCCTGAGGGACCAATTCCTGTTAAACGAGTCAAAGGAAGTGAGAATCTCCCTATTACAGAGCTCTGAGGTGGGGGAGCAGATCCTCCGCTCCTGCTACACGGGGGCCCTGGAGTTTCCTGTCAAGGAGCTGGTGAACTACCTAACGGCGGCCAGCTACCTTCAGATGGGCCACATTGTGGAGAGGTGCACTGAGGCCCTGACCAAGTACATTGAGCCAAAGTTATTATCGGACGACCTGGGACAGGCGAGTTGCTGTGCAGAGCAGTCGCAGGACGTCCCATCGCCCAACAGCGAGAGGAACCAGCTGGGTGACCTCTCGCCCTCCGGGGACGTGTCTGACTGCGACACAGACTCCGAGGACAGCAACATTCGCATTGTCAAAGTCGAGTCACTGACCAGCGATGTCCAGGAGGCGGAGAGCGGTACCTTGAGGCAGCTCCGAGCCGAGCTGGGCCGCGCCAGCGAGCGACGTGTGGCCAGTCCTCCCGAGCCACAGCATTCCCTGGTCAACTCCACTGTGGACTCCAGAGGCCACAAGGCCGGGAGCTGCCTGCAGAGCTACGGGGGCTCTCGGCCTCGGGTGTCCGAGGTGGTGAACGGCACCAGCTTCATGTTGGCCGCCAATGAGTTTGAGCTGCAGGGTTTGAGCAGCTTCCCCAGCGAGGACCTCACGGGTGCCGGGGGGTTCCTGTTCCGGCGGAACCGTGGGACCAAACTGTTTGCCAACAAGGCTCTGTACACCAGTCATTACAAAGCCCAGGACAAGTGGCTGCAGAAGCCCCATCAGTGCAGCAAGTGCGGCAAGATCTTCCATCACCTAGAAAACTTTATCAGCCACTTGAAAACACACAAACTCTTCCTGTGCCTCCGGTGCGGCAAGATTTTCACCCAGAAAAGCAACTTGACGCGACACATCCGGGTCCACACGGGGATTAAGCCCTATCAGTGCACCATCTGTGGCAAGACCTTCACCCAGAAGTGCTCCCTCCAAGACCATCTGAATCTCCACAGCGGAGACAGGCCACACAAGTGTAATTACTGTGACGTGGGCTTTGCCCACAAACCGGCTCTCAGACGGCACCTGAAAGAACAGCACGGGAAGAAATGTGTTGATAATGTCACTGAAGGAAGTATTCAGGAAATCAGTCTGGAGGTCAACACCATTGACTAAATGTGGCAATGTGTGGGAGCCTGTCCCACAGCATAAATCTAACAGTCGGGGTGGATTATTCCTAGATCTAAGACACAAATTTCCAGCTAGTCTTAGCCTGTCAGACCATTTTGTCTTTGATTTTTAGTAAATTTAAAAAAAAGGCTTCCAAATAAAGACTGAATTTCTGAACTTTCCACAGTTCTGTTGCCATCTTAACTTTTAAAGACAAAATGATCTTCAAGCTTGGACTAAGATGGAATTTCGAGCTCCTGATGTCTTGTAAGTCAGTCAAACCGATTGAGGCCGTGGATACAAAACACTGAAGAGTTTAGCACCAAATCAGAACTTAGCGAATGAGACGTTCACAGAATCCGGCACTTGATGATGATCTGTAGAATTCACATTTACCCAATGAAATTGAAGCTGGTAAAATGAACAATAATCTTTGTAAGTGTATGCCACGATAAGGTGTGTTCTTTGGAAAGATGCAAATCACATTGTGTACTTAGGGTTGAAACTGCTGTATGTATTATGGTGGGTGACGTAAGTCTGAAAACATCCCCTTTCATCCATTCTGGACTTTTTTTAGACCACTTTTGTGCTGCTCATCCAGGGCTACAATCAGAATCGACACAATGGGCCCAAATACAGGCACCAACGTATAACTAGACTGTTACTACTAATGTCCTCGTCCCAGTGCTTGGAATGTAATGTTTCTGGGATAAATTTATAGAGTTTTTTTCAAGGAGCAGTTTTATGTACTGAACTATGTTTTTATTTGACATTTTTAAAATGATGGATGGAAAGTTTTTTTAAATTATTTGAAAATCTTTTATCAGTCTATCTGAGTTTTGTCTCAAGAGGGGGATAGAGAGAGAGAGACACACACACACACATACCTCTTTTGACGCTGAGTTTCGCTGCAGGAATGTGTGATTCCTGTGTCTAGTTCTCAGATGTTTGGTGCCAAGAATTCATAGGCTTTTTTGACGGTAGTTATTTTGTACTTTGTAAATTTATGTTAGATTTAGAACTATATTGTGACATATGCTGCTTTAACCAGGTCTCATGTTTGATGACATGATTATTTGCTCTTTTAAAGAGATGTTTTTGGGTGCTTGTCCAGTGATAAAGGATCTGTGATGATTAGTTTCAGACACATGGCTGCCTTGGGTCATCCTCCTGATGCTCCCTGAGGCAGAGGAGTGTGAGTCAGGGCTGAGGACATGTGGAATTAGGTGACCATTGGGTTTGTGTGGTTCAGTTTGAAGTTTGGATTTCTGGGTTCTCAGACACAGTGGATGTGAAATTACAGAATCAGGAATATTCTTCAATTTATTGTCATTTTGTGGCCCAGGAAAAACTAAACATCAACAGAATTGTGTGTATTAACTACAGATTAGCCATTCTTGCCACGTTCCAGTGATAGTTTAGGAATAGATCGACTGGATTGAACGTAATTCTTTATCCAAACCTCTGGCATTGTCTTTGTACTGTATGTTATGCCATTTATGGTTATGAAAGCAAAGCATGAGGGGAGGGAGGAGAGTGTCACTGGCATTTCTCTCTCTTCCTCATGTCCAGCATTTGCTCTGTTCCGAACAATGTGTGAGATTGTGATCCTGGGAACAGATCAACTTGATTGTCCTTTTGGTCGGGGCTGACAACCTCCCGATCCAGGACAAACATAAAGTTGAAACAGTGGAAGTTGGGAAGGAGTTGGACTGATTATTAATTGACTGTTTAAATTGCAGCAAATACTGTTGAATGCTTCCATGTGCAACATTGGACCTCTTGGACATTCCTGCCTCTTGAATACAGTCCCGAAATGGTCCATGTAACTGTGCTGTAGCTTGACGTTAGAGCAGCAATGCTGACCTTGAGTTTACATATAGAAATGTATAAGTCATTAACTTGTGGTTGTAAGAATTTAAAAGCACTACCTGATTTAGTATGTTTGAGGATTTGTTTTGCTTTAAGAAAAGAACTAGGATAACAAGTGTTCTTTAGTTTCTCTGTAGGTTTTTATACCCCTGAATTTTTAATTCTCGTTCTTCATTGGTGATTATTACTAATATTTAGTAGGTTCCAGGTGCAGACATAATGTTAAAAAAGGTGATTTTTTTTAGTTTGGTTTTACCTTGCACTTAATTCACGAGCAAAATGAGCTGCAGTAATTGCCATTTATTTAAACTGTTGCTTCCAGAGGATGAAAAAGGTTTCAGACAAAGTCTCCAAACTAATTACAGGTGCCTCAGTTTTGAGTAAATGGACTAAATGAAATCCACTGTCTTATTCGGTTGTTGCATTAATAATTTTAGTCCATAGGATTCTACACTCGCTTCAGTTTCCTTTCACCTCATTGGTCCCATTAATGAAATGTCCACGTGGGCTTTCACAGGGACTTACACAATGTGGGTCTGACGGAGGGAGACGGGTGAGTATGTGAATTCAACTATTCAGTGGAGAGCAGCAGCTTTTGCCGACCAACACACACACCGTCTCGTATCGAAATCGATTTATTTTTAACTTTAAGCAACGTTTGTAACAAATTCCATGGAATAAGCCATTGATTATTCTGTAGATTTATTTCCACGGACTTTAAGCTGCTCTTTATTCAGACAGTAAAATGGATATGGTGAGACAAGATTTTTGCCAAAATTTATTTTATCCCCGACCTCCTCGTCTACTACCCCAGAACATAAGGATCTTAGATCTGAGTGTCCCTGAGTCTGTCTGATAGTTTCTTCACAGAGGGAGGAAAGAGAGGGAGGGAGAGAGAGAGAGAGAGAGGAAGAGAGAGAGAGAGAGGGAGGGAGAGAGAGAGGATGTTGTGCTACTGTGGTGCCTCGGGCTGAAGAACAGCTGTAAGGCTGTCAACCCCACTTCTTGGGGGGAAATGTGGGATACTGTGGCACAGAGAGAAAATAAGTTGCTCCAAAATTAAGATTTGAGCAAAGTTAAGAAATGTTTTCATTATATTAACAGCAAAGGCTTCTTTCTATCTGATATTTACTTGATGAATGACGCCACTACACATGTCAATTTTAAGATTGTTTGAACAGTTGCGAGAATGAAACCTAACAGGTCTGGTGACCTTAAGTACTTTTATATTAAAAAAACACATTAGTTTGGTTTTGCAAAATGTAATATCGTCTTTGGTTTTAGTTAATGTACAAGATCATAGTTTGTTCCAATTTAGGAATATAGGAAATTAGGAACAAGAGAAGGCGTTTAGCCAATCAGTTGCTTTGCCAGACCATTCCCCCCAAATCCCTGTCAGATACCCTTAATGTTTTTACTTCCTTATTTTTCAGTTTGAACAAACAGGACAACAAATGGGTGTTTGCCCCAATGAAGCTCATTGTTTTGCTGCCTAACGTGGCATCTGGTTTTGTTTTCCATGCCCCAAACAGCATTTTCTACCACACCTGGGCCAATCTTGCACAGCAGGGTAGACTTTGCTGGGAACAGTGAATACTGGAGTCAGATGCACCAACGTAGCAGGACAAGATGTCACACGTTCACATCTATGAAGAGCAATTTGAGGACAGACCCAGGAAGTATTTCTTTACAAAGAGAAACAATCACACGGGTACCAGGAAGGGAGGGAGAGTCCCAGGATGTTGGACTTATGGCAAGAGACGATAGTCTGGGTCTGAGGTTTTTTTAGGATGAGATTTTGTTTGATGAGATAGTCCACAAAATACACAGTCACTTCACTTTCCAGTCTATCCTGTGAAGCGATTCTCGATGTCTGAATGTGTAGGCGCTATATCACATGCACAGATTCTTATTTTATTATTAAATAACATTTGACATTACCTCACTTGCAATCCTATGTTTTAATTGGTACAGGATGGATATGTCCTAATTATCTGACTTCCTTTGTACATATCCACTTGTCTCAGCTAATCTTTGTAGACCTGGTCGTGCACAAAGGGCTTGACTTGGCAAACTTGCTTTATACCAAACACTGGGATCCAGACTTTGGAAACTGCAGGACAGGGAAGACTTTGAGCTCCACCGAGAAATCCCAAACTTACCCACTTTACTGAGACCTGTAATACACTACGTATTTTCCAATAAAGTTGATAGTTTGGCCTTTTTAACACTCATTGCTGCTCCAGTGGAGTAAATTTGGATCTGCAAATGTATTATTTTGAGATTAAAGTCGAGGTGTGTGGCTTCCATATGTTTTGTCATTGATCCAAGTTGCTGGACATGATTTCTCTTTGATATCTGCTTCTTCAGTAGCTCATTCTTCAGTGACACGTGTATTTTAGGTGCTATTTATTTTGTCCGATGATGTGACGGGGAGACATTAAGCTCTGCTGCTGCTCACAATTGAGTTACAATTGCTTTGAATCTTAGCTGGATTCGAACCTGGTCTGCTGGAGTAGAGCACACACCCACTGCGAATTTCACCTCGTTTCAACACTCAGCGACTACAATAACAAGCAGAAATGCGCACAAGACCAACTCCCTGAAGGCCCCAAGTTACTGACAACTTGTTCATATCCTGAACAAAAATTCTGCATTAGTAAAGCATTGTATTGAGGGGCAAGTTTGGTTCCCAAAAAGTTTCAAAGATAACTTCCTTATGTGGTACAGTGTACACAAATGTTACAGATTTTATTTTTTTATGTTTTGCATATGTTTATGTGAATAAAACCAATTGCAACAATCTATTTTACGCTAACATTTCACTTAACAAATGTACTGACAATATCACATATTTCCTTATAATGCAATCGGGTTTCTTTGTGGTGTAAATGTTACTGAAATGGCAAAAAAATCAGCAATTTCCAATTCACTCAAAAAGGCCCACTTACAACTTACAAATACACTGCTTCGTAAATGGTAAGAATGGTGATCACATGTAATATGTACAGCTGCATAACCCTTTACATACAGACTGGCAACTTGATATGATGAGCAGAGGCAGCGACGATCAACATTTCTCCACTTGTCTTCAGTGGAGGTTGTATATTAATGCTGAGATTCCACTGTAATCTCACATTGCACAAAGCAACCGGGTAAGTTTATAAATAACTCGCGGGCTGGT